TAATCTGTTTGCAGAGATTCTACTAATAAGCACCTGAAACCACCCTGGTGGGTGAGGGCTGACTTTCAACACAATTGCTAGTTAACAGAACATAAAGAATGCAAAAAAATGTGGGAGAAATTGTAGTTGAGAAGCTTGCATGGTAACAGTAGTTACTCTATAATCATATAAGAATCTCTTCCCTCCTGCCCCACAGACCCCTAGTTAGATCCTTCCTGTGAGGTGAACATTCTCAGGTTCATGGAGGACAGGGGTCTAGGCTCTGCCAAGAACCAAAGTGATGATCTCTATGAAAGACAAATGCAACCCTTGGATTCCAGATATTCCTCTCCGGTCACACTCTGGGCACACTGAGGGATGTAATGTCCTCTGCCTTCCAGCACTCGGGGTCAGAGAGCTGTGATAGCCTTTTTCCTGCTTCAGGGAGAACTCCAGCTCTGTTAGGGTCTAGGTGAGAGTGTAAAAATCCCAACCCAGTGAGAGTGTCACCGAACAATCCAGATTATCCTGTTTTGTCTTTCCTGAGCTGCAAGGAATGATTTTCAACCCAGATCAGTCTGTAACCCAAGGGAGCGGAGCGAGAGTCAGATTCTTGGTCTAAGAGGAACAGATTCAGACCCACAGAAACAAGGATCCCGGTGCTGCCAGGAACCAAGGTGAGAATTCCCAGGGAGGGTGAGGGGCCAGTGGAGAGGCCTGCCTAAAACCCTGCTGTCAAACTCCAGGCACGGGGCTGGGGCTGGATGCGGCACCCACTGACGGTCTCACTGGATTAGAACCACAGGAGGGCCTGTGGAAGATCAGGCTTCAGGTGAAAGGACTAGAAAGCTTGGGGCTCAGTTGGGGGTCAAGGTGATGGGCTGTGGGGAGAGTAGAGATTGCCCAACTAGAGAGAGGGTCCCCAAACTGTCCAGATGTTTCTCTTGTGGTGTAGTGAGATGCACGCACTTTCCGTGGAGAAAGAGACGTAATTGCCAGGAATGTTACGCTCAGCTTCAGTAATGAATAAAGAGGCAGAGTTCAAAATAAAAGTAGGGGGTCAATATTGAAAAAGAGAGAAAAGGAAGGAGACAGCTATCTTGGGAGAACTGATTAGGGGGCATCGAAAGTAGAATACCTGTGTATATTTGTCTTCAGCTTTTTTTTTTTTTTTTTTTTTTAGGCATAGAGAACACTTCCCCTCCCGAAAGGGGTGGCGGGGGAGGGGAGGCCTTTGACCTTTCACCTTTTCTTTTGTTCTCTGGCTTTGAGCCTGAGCTCTTCCAACCTGAGCACTTTCTATCTGTATTCTTTTTGGCTCTCTGATTACCTCCTGTCTTTTTGTGATGGGAAAGTGTGTGGGAGTCACCTTATGGAAAGTAAAGCTATTGTTCATGATTAAGTAAAAGAGAAATGTGAGTGTTTATATTTTAAATCAGAGCCCTTAGGTTGGTGTTTTATCAGGAGACAGAGGGCTTTCCTGTTCTTCGCTACATCCCACTTAGCCTGTCACTTTTAATAAATTTTTTGATAATGTGTTACCTGGCGCTCTGTCTCTGTCTCCTGTCTCTCTGTCTTCTGTCTCTCTGTCTCTGTCTCTCTGTCTCTCTCTCTCTCTCTCTCTCTCTCTCTCTCTCTCTCTGTCTGTCTTTCTAATTGCTGGAGTCTAATTTGCAAAGGAGAAATAACCTTTAGTAAGATTCCCTGTTAGTTTTTTTTTTTTTTATTTTATCAAACTGGGTGAAATGCTATTTTATCCTTTTTGCATGACTATGGGCTGCTGTCTCCACACTCTCCTGTCAGCCCTGGAACACAGAGGGCTGATTTATTACAGTGAGCTGCAGCCGCAGAGGCCCATGAGATAGAGCTTGGACAATGGGGAACAGAATCAGGTCCATAGTGAGCTGGGGCATAGGCTCTGCCAGGAACCAAGACATTGATCCTTAAGGAGGAAGGGCCCCCCAAAATTCCTTTTGTCTCAGGCTGTCAAGCCTTTGAGACCCTGTGCGTGTTACAAGATATGATATCCACTCACTAGCACTGTTTTGGATTAGAGCAACAAGAGGTCCTGCTCTGAGCTGTGTGTTTTACTTGAGGAGATTAGAGAGAGTTGAGCTCAGTTAGGGGTCACATTGAGGGGCTGTGTGGTGAGTGAACACGGCCCACAGCAAAAACCAGGACCAGGAACAACCCTGTTTTACCCTGTTCTTAAACGTTACACTCCTGGGAAGGCTTCTCTTGAGGTCTTGATTTTGCCACAGGGGACACAGAGTTCGGAGTCAAAGTCTTGTGCTGAGGGCCTGGCTTCAGGAAGGAGGAGTAGGGAGGACCTGGGGTCAGTTGATTCAAGTTGAATGCTGTTGGAAAATTCATGAAGCCTCACCTCAGAGAGAGGTGCCAGAACGCAGCAGTAAAGCCTGTTTCCTGCTTTGCCCCAGAAGGTACAGAATTCTCAAAAGAGAGCCCTCTTTTCCTAGCTGGACCCTTAGATAATATCAGAGCCTTGTTCTGAGGACCAAACTATGGCAAAAAGAACACAAAAACCTAGGATCAGTTAGGTCCAGTTGAGGGGCTCTTGGTGATACTCCGGAATCTCCACCCCAGTGAGAGGATCTCAGAGTGTTCAAAAAACTCTCTCTTGCTGTTCTTGCCCCTCACAGTTCAGAATCCTCAGGAGAGAACCCCTTTTCTCCTCAAGTGGGAACTGAGAATCAGAGCCTTTTACTAAAGCCTGTGCTTGAGGTGGGAGGAGCAACAGGCCTGGGGTCAGGTGGCTCAAGGGATCCCTGCATTATGGGAAAAATGTCTCAGGGCAGTCACAGAAGAGTCAGGACCGAGTTCTGAGGACTGTGCTTCAGCTAAGAGGAGCAAAGAAGATCCGGGATAATTTAGGCCAAGAAGAGGCCCTGAGGGCACAGTGAGGAAGCCCCAAGCCAGGGGGAAGATCTGCAAACAACCCAGATCACCTCTGTTACCACTCAGTACCTGGGGGGAGGAGTTTTCAAGACATCATCCCGGTATCAGGGCACCAAGAGAGGAACGCCAGAGCCTTACTCTGAGACCTGTGTGCTTTGAGTGTAGGAAGTAGCGAGAACAGGGCTCAATTAGATCACGGTGACAGGCTGTGTGTCATTGCTGAAGCCTCAGATCACAGAGAAATCCAGATCTACCTCTGCTGTACACAGACAGTAGATATGTCCTGCAGCACGCAGTAACAGATATGTCAGGATGAGCCTCTGTCACAGCGGACCCCGAATATCACAGCCTTCTTCTGAAGTGTACCCTTCAGGTAGGCTGGCAATATAGAATCCCAGATTACTTGGATTAGTTCAAAAGCTGAGGTTGAAAGAGAAAGCCCCATTCCAGATTCAGAGGCCAAAAAATAACCCTCGGTTGACAGCCTTGCACTATACAGTAGAAAGCTTTCAGGTGAACACTTTGTTTTGCATTAGGGTACTCACAGAATCTAGAACCTGGTTCTGGGTTCCAGGCTTAAGATGAGAGCAGCAGAGAGGACCTGGACTGAGCTAGGTCAAATTTAGGAGCTGTGGGGTAAGTGTGTAAGCCCTGAGCCAGGATGCAAGTCTCCAAATAATACACACCCGCCTATGTTGTCAGACCTGTACTTGGGACACACTTGCCAGGGTACTCCACTTCCTCTTCCCATGCCCATGGTGACTTTTGTGCTTTAGTAATCCATGAGTGTCAGACATTTAGGCTTTGGCAGAGACCAAGCTGAGGTCTGAGGGAGCACAGAGGGCCCTGAAATAATTACTTTTAGAACTTCCTGTCAGCTCTGTGAAGGTCTGGGTGAGACAACCACTCAAGTCAGCCTCTGGCATCAGATAGATGTGAGGGCCTCTCTGATGTCTGTCCTTCATGTGACAGGAGCAGAGAGAACCTGTTCCCACTCCAGGTGAGGTCCTGAAGGGGGTAAGGAAACCTCAGGCCAGCAAAACTGTCTGTGAACAATAAGATCCATCTAGATCCATCTCTGTCATTGGTCCTGGACCCAACAGAGGCAGGCTTGCAAGAATGAATCCTCTCCATTCTTTGACGATGATGTAACAAGGATAAGGATCAGACTGCCAAGAACCAGGGTCAGGACCCAGAAGAAGGAATGAGGGGGGCCACCCGCCCCCAACTGGAATAGGCCCTGGAGGCCTTCACTACCCCAGGTATCAGGCCCAGCATGCTCTAGGCGTGGTACCTGGGGATTAGAGGTAAGGCCTGAGAGTGGCAGCACTCTTGTTCTTGGATGAAGGTGCCTTGCATTCCAGAGCAGAGAGGACCCCAGAGAAAACTGCCCCTGCTCTTGAGTCTAGCAAAACCCTACGCAGGCTTATTAGGTGGGTGATTCTTGACCCCTTCAACAGTGTCTGATGGACCTCAGGGTCTTTGACGAAAGAGAAAGGCCTCAGGTAAAGGAAGACATGGGCTCTTTCTCAGTCAAGATGAGAAATGAGGCAGGACTGTGAGACCCAGGACACATGACAGATGGAATCTGGGTGGCTTGTTCTGTCAACCTCCGTGCTGTCCTGCATTCCTATCTGGATTCTGAGAGAGGAGAACTCAGGACACGGAAAGGTGGGCCTGCATTCAGGACTCAAAGGAAAGATTCATGGTGACTTGAGGGGACGTTGCACCCTACATTAGAGGGGTAACCTTCTCTCAGATGTCAGCACCCTTATGACTGGCTCTTAGTGTCATGAATGAGAACCTCAGTCTGAGGAGTGTGACCTCAGGTCAGCAGATCCAAGTCATGGGAAGCCTGGCCCTGCTGGCAGGCTGTGACAGCCTCGGGCAGGGCTGCATACAAGAGTCACCCTGCCCCATACTTGCACCTCTGCTATGCTGGGGAGACAGTGGCCTTGATCTGCAAGATGCATCTGCAGGTCAGCAGTGGGGAAGCATGAACACCTGGGTCTGCACCAGGCACGGGAGGCCTCTGGATTCTCGTCCTCGGTCAGCCTGGGGAAACCCTTACAGAGGTGCTAGATGTGCTGCATTTTGTCTCCCAGGTCTCAGGGAGGTGGCCTTGCTGTGACAGTCTTCACCAGCTCACGGGACAAGACGTATCCTGTCAGCAAAGGGAGCAAGCCAGGGTCTGCTGGGAATCACGGAGAGGACCCCAGGTGAGAAGTGAAAGTGATTTCTTCTTATTGCTGTATGTTTATAATACATAATGATTACATTCATCAGGGGAGTTGAAAACAGTACATGACACATGTTCATTCTTTTTATCCTTTTCCCTTGTCCTTCCTATCCCCTCCCTGCAAGTCTTGAAAATTTGCATATGTGTATGTATATATTATACATATTTGAAATGCAAAAGGATCATATTCCTCATGGGCAAACAGCTCCTTTTCCCCTTTTATTGACATAGCTCCCATTTCCCACCCCCTCCATCTCTTCATTCCCTCCCATATGATAAAGATCTATCTCAGTATTTACTACTGTCTATATTTTTTTGGACTTTATTCAAAACAGGGGATGTTTCATATAAAAGAAACCATTTAATATTGAAGTTTGTATATCTGATTTATTTCACTTAACATTATGATCTTGAGATGTATACACTTTTCTACAAATAATGAATTTATCCTTTTTTATAGGACACTGGTACTCCATTGTAATTGCCACATTTTCTTTATCCATACATTTATTGATGAACATATAGACTCCTTCCAAGATTTATAGGTGCCACTGCTAAAAACATGAGTATATATGTTCCACTGTATTATGATGTCTTTAATTCTTTTGGAAAGAAACTTAGAAGGGAAACATTTCAGCTGAATATACTTTCAAGGGTTAATTTTTAAAATACTTGCCATACTGAATTCCACTTGATTGTACCAGTTTACATGCCCACCAATTATGAAGAAGTGTTCCTTTTCTCCACAAAGGCTCGCCAGCACTTGCTCTTATTTGATTTCTTGAGGATAGCCATTTTTTCTGGAGGGAGATGAAATCTGTGTTATTTTAACCTTCACGTATTGAATGACCAGCAGTGTTGAACAGTTTTCTAGGTATTCATTGGCTATATGTACTTTTTCATCTGAGAAGTGCCATCCTTTTCAGAAGCCCAACTCTTGTTTGGGTCTTTTAAGTTTGGGAGCCTAAATTTTTTGTGTTGTATATATTCTAAGTATACTGTCCGCTCTCTGAGGATTAGCTGGCAAATATTTGTCATTCTGTAGATTATCTCTTCACTATGCTGGGTGTCACCTTGCTGTTGAGAAGCTTTTTAATCTGATTTGATCATATTTGTTGATTCTGGATATGATTTATTATGTACCTGTGATTCTGTTTATAAAGACCTTGCTAAGACCGTGTCTTCCCGTTTTACCTCTTTTGCTCCTGCATAGGTGGAGTGAACCCTATTCCACCCAGATGACTTACTGCATTCTTACTCTTTATTCACAAAAATGATTGGCCTGTTGTTCTTTTCTGTTTGTATTCCTTTGTAGCTTGGGGACCATGGCCATGCTTGCTTCCAGGAATGACTTTGGGAATCCTGCTTCCCGTTCAATTTCATTAAGGAGTTCGAGGTGTACTGGCGTTGGATCTTCTCTAGTGTTTTCACAGAACTTGCCAACGAATCTGTCAGGGCCTGGGATTTTTGGGTAGTTCTTTTCTATAAAAAGTCTTTAATTTCATTGACTGATATTTGATTATTCAGATTTTATATACTTTTTCAGCTTTTGGAGTTCATATATGCATAGGAAGTTATACATTTCTTCTGAATTCTCCATTTTACTAAGTTGTTAAAGTAGTTAAAATGATCTGAATTTTGGCAGACTTCAACGTTTACATTTCTAATTGCTTTGATTTGGGTCTGTTTTTTCATTCTTTTTGTAGGAATAGTTGGAGGTTTGTCAATTTTGTTTATTCTTTCAAAGAACAAACTCTTCAATTTGTTTTTTTTTTTTTTAATCTCTGCAACACCTGGAAAAATCAGTGCCTAGATTTTGAAATCCAGAGCAATTCAGCCTTGCCCTAGGCTCTGACTACAGGGGCAGGATCTGTGCGCTTGCTTCCCAACTGAACTCAAATCTTCTTGGCATCTTTTTCTAGTGTGATTGCCTTCCACAGCTGTTCCCTGAACTATTTCTCACCCAGCCACTGCGGAAGTGTAACAGTAGCAACCTCAAAGTGAAGTGGTCCTGTGGCTCATCTGAGTCCCAGGTTTTCGCAACCCTTTCCTGGAAGGGAAGCTAAGCCCTTGCACGCTCCATGGATATGGCAGGCACCCTCACAGAGTTCAGTTCCCTGCTGAATCCTTGTAAGGACTCTGTGGGAGCAGAACTCCACAATGTCCCTGAAGATTGGAGCAACTCCCAGTCCATTGAAACACTGCTTTTTCTTCCTGGGACCTCCTGAACTCTCCAGGTTTCATTTTGCTTCTACACATTTCATTCTTTTCTCAAGATCCAGGAGCCAAGGAAGAACCCTAGACTGATTCTTCCCTTATCTGCAATGTAGTTTGTGTCTTTAATATTTTTGTAGGTTTTTTTATTAGTACATATTTGCAGTACATAATGATTACATTCATTATGAGAATTTCTTCATACATATATTACATTTTAATACTGTTTGTTCCCTCCCACTCACCCCTTCCTAACTGAATAGGTTCTTTCTACTTCTTTAAGGTTATCCTTAATTTTACTCATCTAAAATTGTGTTTCTCATACAGCAGAAATAATGTCATATTTGAACTTTAGAACTCACAGGATCCTTATCTTTTTTCCCACTTTTTTTCCTCCATCAAATGCTATTTTTTAGCATCCTGAATCAGAAATTTTGAAGGGCCAAATCCCTATTGGTCACCATTCTGCTAATTTTTTTTTTTTTTTAGCACTGATGATTTGAAGGTAACCCATACCCACAAGCTAAACACCCTCCCCGAACCTGGTATCCCCTGTTATCAGTCTGGAGATCCTTGTGAGGGTGGCTGTATGTGAACTGCTTGAAATTCTCCTAAGTGGTTACAGGTGGGAAAACTCAGGGAGGTGAGTACCTTTGGTCCAGGAAGTGACCACAAGTCAGTAGAGGGAGATATATATGGTTAGTAAACGGAGGACCTCCTTCCTGGGAACTGCCAGTTCCTGCAGCCCATGAACAATAGAGTCTACCTGTCCCCCAGGTCTGCCCCAGGAGGCCCTAATTAGCATGCTCACTTCCACCAGGAGCTGGAAGGGAGGTATCAGTGAGATGAGGTCTAGGACTCAAAGGGAGAAATCAGCTCATCTTGGGGAGAGTGCAGCTGAGGAAGAGCAGGCACTGACAGGAGACAGATGGAAAAACTGCAGAAACACACAGGGATTACCTTACTTAAGAGCTTATTACGGAAACACAGTATCTGACACATGCAGTTTAATGAAAGCAAAATTGATTTGCGCTCATAATTTATAGAAATTTCTGTCCATAGTCAGCAAGCTGCAAAGCAGAACAGCGACTGGCAGGGCCTGGTAGGAGAAAACCCACTCACCAAAGTTGTCTTTCAGGAAGCAGAAGGTGAAGGGAGAAGCCTGAAAGGGAGATGACACCTGCCCCGTCACACGCGCAGAGATCCTCCTCTTTGGAAAAGGCTCTAACTTCTCAGTGCAAGCCAGATTTGAGCCCCCATAATCCAGTCACCTTCCAAAGCTCCTGCCTATGATCCCATGGAACTTTCCAGAGAAATCTAGATTAAACCGTAAGACTGGTTCTGAATCACAGAAGTGATGGGCACAGGTCTTGCTGTCAGCACTAAAGTCCCAATGTTGAGTGACAGGATGAGTGGCTTCTCACTTCTTTTGAGAATCTTGGCGATCTCAGGGAAGTGAGACACTGGATCTGAGATGGTGTTGCAGGTTGGCACAGGATTTCCATCTGATGAGGAGACACACTGTGGTTCCTATATCTGCCAAAATTTAATATGAGACTCCTGAGTGAGAATTTAGGATAGTCCTTATCTGGACACACATGGGTGGGTGTTCCTCTGACATCCAATCTGTGCTTTCATCATCATAGGAATCCCATGAGTTTTTTTCAGCTGAGGCTCCTCTCTGTCTCCCTGTCTCTCTCCTACTCTCCTCTCATCTCTCTCCCTGTTTCTGTGTGTGTGTGTGTGTGTGTGTGTGTGTGTGTGTGTGTCGTACATCATTGGTCCCAGTGAGTTGAAGACTTTGGTACAATGGGGCAGGAACCAGGAGAGCATAAGTAGGATCTCAGGATCCTTCAAGGGTCTAGATGAGACAGAGGGCACACACTCACCTGAATATGCAATACAATAGCCTTAACACTTCCCTTGTGGCAGACCCAGAGAACATAGGTGGAAAAGTTTTCTTCCACTTCCTCTTTGAGTGTCTCACAGCAATACTGATGTAGTTAAAAGAAGGTGACCCTGTCCTTGTAGAGAGGGTCCCAGACTTAGCCATTTATCAAGATAAAGATGGAGCAGGTTCCCTCTCGGGGTGCACATGGACACCACTGAAGTTTTCCACCTCCAGCTGTTGCCCCCAGGCAGTTGTGGTCAGATGTGTTGTCTTCCTGCCTTTAGTTCCCTATCAAGGAGGAAAATGCCTTTTCTTAAAACCTGTTTCAGGCCAGCAGAAGATGAGGGTCTAGGCCCTGCTCAAGGCATTAGTGAGCAGGGAGGGGACAACAACCCAGAACAATTAAGAGCTCACAGAGTACAGGTCACCTTTCCTGTGAGTGTGGAAGGAGCCTGACTGTGCTTGGGGTCTGCAGGCTGAGGGGCTTTCTGTGTGTCTTACAGGAACTGCAGGATCCAGACGCTGAACATTTCCTTGGGAAGCAGTGTCCTCAGTTCACACAGCAAGTTAGTCCCTGGCGGTGTCAGAAGTCAAGGTGAGATATGTGTCCTGATGTGAACCTTGGATTTCACCTGCCTCAGAGCAGGGTTTCCATAGTCCCCAGGCTCTGTACGCTATACTGTCTTCCCTAGAGCCTTGTGCTATGCAGTTCAACTGCAGCCTGAAAAGCAGCTTCATTTAATGTCGCAGGATCTTGCGGACTCTGCATGCAGGAGGACAGGATTCTAAAGTCATAAGGCATCCCCCAAAGAGAAGACCTATAATGGGCCTTTGTGGGAGGCAACAAGTGTGTTGTTCTCAGCTGAGAACACTAATAGTCTCCCTCTCTCCTCCAGGCATCTAAGTATTCAACAAGGTCTTGCTGTTGCACAGAAAATCATGATGCTCCGTGGTCAGAGGAACCAAGACAGCAAGCTAGAGGGAGGCCATCCGGGCCAGAGTAGTGCACAGGTCTTCATGGGTGTGCAGGGTCTCAAGGAAGAGGGAGAAGAAGCAGCAGTCACTGCGTCCTCCGTATCCTCTTCCTCCTATACTGTAATTGGAACCACAGCAAGAGAAGAGCATGGAGCTGGTATACCAAGTTGTCCTCAGGATGTTCAGGGACTCTGTGCCACCCCCACTGCCATGGTTTCTGGTCAAATGACCCTAACTAATGAGTGCTCTGTCAGGCAAGATCCAGAGGGTTCATGCACCTCACAGGAGGTGAACGTCACTCAGATCATGAACCGCAGGTTCCTAGATGACAAGTTGGGTAACTTAATACGATTCTTACTCCGCAAGTATCAAAAGAAAGAGCAGATCACCAAGGAAGAAATGCTGCGTAATGTGGAAGAGGATTGTCGTGAGCATTTCCTTCTGATCTTCAGGAAACTCTGTTACTGTATTTGCCCTGGCTTTGGCATTGAAGTGAGGGAAGTGGATCCCCTTGGCCACACATATGTCCTTGTTCCCATCTTGGGACTCACTTTTAATGGCATACTGGATGATAATGATGATCAGATCATTCCCAAAATCGACCTCCTGATATTCATCCTGAGTGTAATATTCATAAAAGGCAACCATGTTAGTGAAGAAGACCTAAAGGAACTACTGAGAAGAAGGAAGGTAATAGCTGAGAGGAAGTGCATTTTTACTGAAGAGCCCTGGAAATTCATCACTGAGGATTTGGTACGGGAAGGGTACTTGGAGTATCGGCAGATTCCTAACAGCGATCCTGCATGCTATGAGTTCCTGTGGGGACCAAGGGCTCATGCTGAAACCAGCAAGATGAAAGTCCTAGAGCATGTGGCCCAGCTTGAAAGGGCGTCTCCCAGGTCTTACCCATATCTATATGTGGAGGCTTCAAGAGAGGAGCAAAGTATAAACAGGGTTATTGAGGGGCAAGAGGTGTGACAAGGACAAGAATTCCACAACCAGACCAGAGGTTTAATTTTCACTCCGTGTGAAACGAGGTCCAGTTTGTGTTTGTTTCTGGAAAGCAGGTAGTATTCTAAGCAGTGAAGGGACAAGAGAGGGGGCAAAATATCATGCATGCGATCTTGATATCTCTTCTATTTGGCCTACTAGGAAATGGATATGCGTTTAGCTTATGATCCTTTGAAGTCTTGTTTCTGTTTTGTAACTTTGAAATAGCTAGCAATTTTTTATTTGAAACATGGTATTAATATCACATATATTTTAGTGTTCTGTGATTAACATTTGATTATGCTTTCTATGTGAAGGTGATTCTGTGTTACATTAATCACATGTAAATTTTGACTTTTACACCAATTGTATAAGCTTTCCTCATTTTGTGAAAAAATAAGAAAAAATTTCATTTGATTTATGAAAATATAAGGTTGGATTAGGAATCTCCTTGCAAATATGAAAGATTTTTATGTCAAATTAGATGGACTCCAAAAAGAGGCTCAATTTATGGCTTCTTACGTCTTTTCCCATGTTGATCCATAGAATTAAAAAATATGTATACCTGAATGTACTTGATTTCTTTAAATGCATTAGGGAAATTTACTGTCAATAAAGGACTCCATATGCTCAGCACCACACTGACTGCCAAACCTGAATTGCATTGTGTGCTTCTTTAGAAGGCCCTGTGTCTGTGGTGGAGATATGTGTACACCAGAGTGAGAAAGATCAAAACTACCCCATGGGATGCTGGAGTCCAGGACTACCCCCAGTGTCATGACATAGAGATGGCCTCAAAGGGCCTCAGCACTAAAGGGAAGGTAGCAGAGCCCTGAGGGGTGGAGTCAAGCAGAACAGCCATGAGTGAGTGCAGATCTAGGAAAGTTTTGGGTTTGGGTAACTACAGTTCCTTCTGCACACTGATTGTAATGCAGCTGCATGGTGGTCCAGGCCATACCCTCAGACTAGGTGTGTTGGTCCTGAGATTAAATCTGAAGGACAGAAGACTTCTGAGCAGCACTGAGAGGATGTTCAAGTGAGACAACTATAACAAAAGTAGTCCGACACAGGACAGGGACCACAGGAATTATGCCCAGCCTCTGCAATGATTTCCTGAGAGATAAGGATGACTTTCAGGTGAAGTGAGGCCCTACAGTCCTTGACCAGGTGCTTTGCCCTCTGCTGGAGGTGTCCACTTTCCAGAGTCTTATAGTAATCACTTGACTGCTTTGCTGGGCACAACTTCTACTTGTGAGTCTAGTTTGATTCAACACTCTCACATGTTATCCAGGAAGATCTGACCAGTTATACAAATGGCAAGATGACTGCCTGCCCAAGTGCTTTTCCCTTCTCAGTGTTCTCAAATGTCTTACCTATCTTATGGTAGGACTCAACTGGGCCAGTTTTCAATACTTTCTTTCTGAAAGAACTTTCCGCTAGTTTTTTCAGTGCATGTGATTTTGCTTGAAGTTTCTTGGAACTGCATTTGTGCTCAAGTGGCCTTGTCACTGAGTTGGCCAGGATATTATGTCGCATTGTCACAGAGGCCTCATGAATACCAAGGCCAGAATTCTGTTGAAGATGTTATGAAAGAAAATAGTTGTTCCATTGGAAGGGAAGCAGGAAGGGAGGAGAATATGGTTCTTTACCCAAATGCTGCGCCATTTTCTGTAGTTTAGTGGCCCCAACAGGGACAGATTCCCCATCATCTAATCAACTAATACTTATTTTTGGAGAGAACATACTGGAGGAATGTTTACTGGGTAGCATTTTTGCTTGCTTTCCTAATGAGTTTCTTAATGACCTAACTTCCCTGGGAAACACACACTAATTTTGCAGAAAAAAAAAATTGTTAGACTCTCAGTGTCTCAGCTACTTTTCTCATTGCTAAGAAAAAATACTCAACACCCAAGGGTAAAGGGAGAAAGGTTATTTAACTCACATTTTGACATTTCTGTTCATGATTGGTTAGATCAAATGTACAGTGGCACAGAAAGCAGGCATCATAATGAAGAAACAGTTCATATTAGGCAGAATATAGTAAGCAACAAGGAACCTTAGTAGCATCTTTCTACCCTTTTTATGTTATCCAGGCTACTTAGAGCAGGTAGCACTCACACCCTTAATTCTAGTGCACTTGAGCCTAACATTGCCCCATAAATCAATTTTGCATCACACACTCTATATCTAGCCATGTCCAAAAAACCTGACCTATGATTGCACGAGGCTTTAGGTGATATCTAAATAGAAGCCGTAACATTCTGCCCCTGACCTGCAAAATACTCATGCTTATCCCTTTATGTATTAAAGCATTTAGACCATCTCCAAGAGTTCCCAGTGTCCAAAAGGTTTCAGCATTGCTGAGAAATTCAAGTCCCAAGTCTTCTCTGAGATTTGTGTCAAATTCTTAACTGCAAGATGCTATACAAATGAAAAGAAAATTAAACATTTACAATACTCAGCAATACAAAATAGACATTCTCATTCCAAAAGTTACAAACAGAGAGATGCATATGAATGGGACTTAAGCAAGACCAGAATCCATCAAGGAAAACATTAAATTCCACGGTTCCTTTTCCAGTGTCCCTGAAAATCTGCAACAAGCTGTGAACTCCAAAGGCTTGAGTGGCCTAGCCTCCACAACACTGCCAGCAGATGTAACTGCTGCGGCTTTTATCTGAGGCCAACTCTACTCCTTCCTTGCAATTTTCCCCAGAAAATTCACATTTTTGTTTCTCCAAACTTCTGGGTTCTCCACTGCACCTTTGAGTTCACACTAACAGCTTCATATACACTGCAGTCTAAGAAACAAACTGCCTTGCCTCCCAGGTCTGCTGAGATCTGCATGGAAGTCTTCCCAAACCCACAACTCTCCCAGTCTGCATCACCTAAAAGCAGTACCACATGCATGATGCCAAAGTCTAGCTCCATCATAACAGTAGCCAGGCTTCCTTCTCTTAGATGTAGGAGTCCATTGCTTGTAAACCAAATTCTAAGGAAAAACTCCTCTATGTCAGGCCCATTATGGAACATGGTGCTCTGAGGTTTTCTTCTCAAAGCAAAGTCTTTGACTTTTCCAATTTTGAGAGTGCAAAATGTGGAGTCCTGCTGCTTATTGTGATATCCTCAGGCTACCTTTTCTATTCTCCTGTTATTTCTCAGAAATCAAGGTCTCGTCTCTACCTTTGCAATCCACAGTTTTACTGGACATTCCTTTCTAGCCAAACTCGTGTTTGAATCATTCTGCTGGGCTCTTTGCTCTTGACTCTCAACTATAAAACTCTACTTATATTGTCAGGTCAAGATTCTCTGCTACACATAGAGCCATACACACTCATTGCACATTCATTTATGAGCAAGAGAATAACAAGATCTCTCAACTGCCTTAAATTCCATATAGTAAAAAAATGATAAATAATTTTAGGCTACTGTATTTTACATCTTACATTTATCCTGAGAATCAACAGAAGAGAGAATGTGAAGCAAACAAAATCTACAAACACACATAAGTAAATAAATGTAAGCATCAAAACCTGAGGAAGAACCAGGGGAGAGTGAAATCTTCTGATGTGGTAATTGTGTTTGGGAAAGGGCAGGCTAAGTGGGCGGGAGACTGAGACAAGCATTGGTGAGCCATAACAGCATGATCTGGGGGACATTTTTAATACTCATGACTCTACAGAACTGCATAGTCTAAGGTAGCACCTCAACCCAGAGATAACAGTGGTCCAGGGTACACATCAGTACAGCAGAAAAATGGAAATATTGTTACAGATTTGAAAACTGTACTAGTACCATCTGAAGCCATCCCAATGTGTGAGGCTTGGTTTTCAAAACAATTCTTATTTTTACAAAGTATAAAGAATGCAATGTAAACAAAATAGCAAGTATAAGAGTAAATAATGGAGAGAAGTATTAGTTATTCCATAACCTAAGGCGAGTCTCTCCTTCAGCCTCACGGGACTTGGGGCATCAGGTCGTTGGTCCAAGGTGAATAATTTGATGCACATAGCCAAGTGAGTCCAGGATCTACCAGGAACCAAGAAGACGACCCCCGGGAGGATGAAAGGGACCTAAAGAACCATTTTCTGCACCTGCTGACCCATTCCCAGATGTGACTCTTTCTGACTGTGGCATGGTCCCAGCAGAGCTGAGTGAGGAACTTTATCTGAGCTCCTGGTTCAGGGGAGGGGAGCAGAAAGGATCCAGACACACTTAGGGTTCAAGGTGAGAGGAGACAAGTGAAATCTCTGAGTGAGCAGCAAGGGGACCACCCTCCCAAAGCAGTGAAGACCTCACAGCCACCTCCCCTCAGGCTTGCACCTCTGGGGTCACGGAGATGGTGGCTGTAGGTGCCATGATGCATGCACAGGTCAGCAGGGGAGAATGGGGGCCCCTGGGCACGCTGCAGAGGAAGGAGCGCTTCTGTGACCTCCTCCTTCTGGTCAGACCCTGGGGGAGGCCCATGGAGGGGTGTGGAAGTGCTGCGTCTCATGTCTGTCTGCTTGAGCACAGGGAGATCTCGCCTTGGTGAGCAGAGGGTCACCAGGGCAGAGGAGGAGCCACGCCTGATCCACAGAGGGAGGAAGCCAGACCCTGCCAGCAGGCCTTGGGGGAGGACTGAAAAGGATTTTGCTGTAATACATAATGTTTACCTTCAAAGAGGAGAGTTGTTACATGTACAGGACATACTTTAATTCTTGCTTTTTAATCTCTTTCCCCACTCTTTATCCCACTCCAAGCATCTGTTGGATACCTTGCCTCGGAGATAAATAACAAATATAAATATAAATATAGTCTGTGAATACACATATATATGTTTTGTTGTAGAACATAGTGATTGCAATGCTCATAGTGACTTTATGATCTTTACATTGGAGTTTCTCATCTAAAAGAAGCCAGGCAATATTTAAGCTTGTGTCTCTTTACTTCTTTTAACAAGATGGTCTTGATTTGCATCTATTTTCCTATCAATAATTTAAGTTTGT